CACTAAATAACTGGAGGGTAACTGAGGGAGACACCTGATGTCAATTTATGGCCTCTGTACCTTTATGCACGTGTGCACGCTCATGCGCTCGCGCACACTCATACACACACACACACACACACACTCACACTTCTGAATGTGCGCCTAAATACACATATGCAAATACTCATATGTTTGGATGTAGCAAGAATTCTAATTGTTCTTAATATTAAAAACCTGGAGTTAGATATTAAGGATTGTTGGGTGGAACACTGCTGTGGTTTTGGTGGGAAATGTTCTCTTTGGGTTCATGAGTTTGAACACTTGGTCCCCAGATAGTGGAACTGTTTGGGGAAGGCTGTAGAACTTTCAGGAGGAGGAGCCTTGTCGGTGTCTGTAGAGGTGAGCCTTGAGGTTTTACAGCTCACTCCACCTGCTGTTCCTTGTTCTGTAGAGACAGGAGAGGAAATGAGCCAGTTGCATACTCCTGCCACCGTGCAGCCACTTGCTGGCCTGCCTTGCCTTCCCTGGTGGGCTGCACACCTCACAGTGAATCCTACCTCCCTTAGGTTGCTTTGTCGAGTACTTGGTTGAAATAACAAGAAAAGCAACTCATAGAGGTACCCTCTACGCAGTGAGGTTTCTGATTTTAGAAAATATTTCAGCGTGCACGCAAGCTTGTTTCTGGTGTCGATGGTGACATTATAGGTCTTTATGTCACAGTGGCTGGGACTGGCGTGATAATTGTGTCAGGGAGCAAAGAAGGATTCTTGGAGACAAGCCATCTCCCTAGTCACTGGGACTTTGATTGCTAACAGTGTAAAGTGACCTCCTTTTAGAGACTCCTTCACTCTCTGAAACTGCTTCCCCCTCCCCAATTCTTTCTAAGGATGACCCATTTCTAACTAAGATTTCTTCCTGATAACAGGTTGTGGCAGAGCCTTCATTAAGGAAAGAAATTTCTCCTTCAATGGAAACGACTAGAAACTGTGAAAAGGCACAGTTTGAAGCCAAGGCCCCCTGCCAGTACGATGACCCAGTTAAGAACCAAAACAAAGAACAGATAAACCAGGGGAATAGTGGCTCCCCATCACCCCCTCCTTCCTTCCGCGTCTACAGGTTATGGAGGCGTCTATGACGCTTTAAACATGATAAGCTAATTTCACTGTGCAGAATTGGAAAATGTCAGGCTCTACCACAAGGGTCTTCCCCAAGAAGTCAGGTGCGATATGATTTGCACTAAGATGCGGGGTTTCTACTTCTGGCTGTTGAAGACAGACCTCCCATTGTGTCACATCCCTCTCTACCATTCATGGTAGGAAAAAAGCCACGCCAACCTTTTTTCATGTGTTGAAAAAAGGTGCTGAGCTACACGGTAGGACGTACATAAGAAATACGAATTAATTTAAGTTGTAAGCGCTAGTTAGTAACAAGCCTAAGCTATTGGCTGAACATTTATAATTAATAATAAGTCTCTGAGTGGTTATTTGAGAGCTGACAGAAAACTATGCATATGAGTACCTGAGACAATTAAGTAAAAGAATAAAGATTTATTCTGGCTCACGGTTTCTGGCCGTTGGCCTGTTACTTTGGGTCTGTGGTAGCAAGTAGTCCATGACTAGAGTATTTGGCAGAGGCGATCTGGTCACTTAAGATAGCCAAGGTGCAGAAAACTGAAAAGACTTGTTATTCCTTTCAAACCAGGTACCCACTGACCCAACTTCCTTTTCCTAAACCTCACTCCTTAAAAATGGTCCACCTCTCCTAAACCACCAAGTTGATGATCAAGCCTTTAACACATGTCTCTCGCAGGGACATTTAAGACCAAAACTATAGAAAATATCTCTCAAAGTCTGAGGTCAGAGCTTAAAGCAGGCAGAGGAAGCCATGAATTTTTTTTTTGGCTTCTTATTTCATCTTCAAAATTTTTGCCATTTTTTTCTATCATGCTGAGGGTTCTATATTTGCATTACAACAAAAACACTCTGTCTTCCAAATGTCTGAGCAACACTGTCAAGACAAATGATATGTTTATCTTGGGCTCCCCAGGACAATAACCCTGACCCTCTGAAGAGCCATCATGCCTCTGTGGTAGGAGCATGTTTTTCTACAAATTCATGACAAGCATTTGTAGTGTGAAGGCGACCCACCATGAGCATGGGTGAGGCCGCAGAAGCATAGACTCATAGATACCTGTATGTAAACCCTGGTTGATTGTACAAGACTGACAGAAAAGGTGGGGGGTGCAAGCAAAGGATTTAACGTGGTGTCATGGGCTGTGGCTATTGGTTATTAAGCCAAAATTCACAGAGTTCTTATGGCTTATGTGACAGATGGGTAGGTAAGGGACAATGGTAGCACATTAGAAAAGACTTGCAGAATGTCACAGTGGATCTTCAGTCATTGGACTCCAGCTTCCTGTGAGCCACATTCCTTTCCTCTGTCCTCCTTCTTGCCCTCTGCCCTCCAGATGAGAAGTGAGCAACACTCTCCTGAAATTCCTGGGTGTAAGAAACCACAGAATAATTGTAGCTTTGGGTTTTCTTTTCCCTCAAACTAAGTGTGACTTTGTTTTTCTGTTACTCTAGCAAACTGGCATTTTTACTGAAAAAAAAAATATGTGTCAACCAATATTCTTAGTGTCTTGCCGATGCAATTAGGAAATGCTGACCTTGCAGCTACATAGTAGGAATGCACACTATAAAAAAAAAACAGTCTGAGGCCAGGGAGATGGGACTGGTACTTTCTTCCCTTCCATGTTGGCCAGAAAAGGAAAAGGGAGAGGTGGGGTCAAGGGTCAGGGGCGGCATGACATGAGACTAGCTAGAGAAAACCTCAGCAGAGCTTAGAGGACCTAGTGCCTTAACTGACTAGCACTCATGCCCTACTAAGAATTAAACAGTTAATGGACTAAAGGGTCAACATGGCTCTCCTCGAGGTGGAGTCAGTCAGCCCAGAGTCCTATAAAGATATTTCCCCCACCCCCGGCTCTTTCCCTAACAGTAAAGCTACAGCATAGGTCTCTGCAGTTTAGGTAATTCCTGCCCACTATTTAGAGTTTTAATTTTTATGTTGCATTGAGTGCTTACAATTACAGTCTGTTTAACCTACTGATAAATCTTTTCATAAGAAAAAATTCATTATTTTTTATTCCACTTTAGATGGAATTTGCATTAGCTGAAGACATCATCTGACTCTTCCTGCCATGAATTGGAGATGCCTGGTGGGTAGAAAAACACCACCCTTAATTGTTCCGGGTGAGGATATCTTAGTAGAATCTCCATCTCAACTTGTGGGGTACGGGCAGAACTGTCACGTCCAATGACGTTTTTAGTGTATTTTTAAATCTTCCTTGAGGATTGTATATATGTATATGATCAAATCCACCTCCCGCTCCATCCTCCAACTCCTCCCAAGCCCCTCCTACTAGATCCCTGTGCCAACTTCGTGTCCTTTATTTTTAACCCACTGAGTCAATTAGTGCTCTCTCTCTCTCTCTCTCTCTCTCTCTCTCTCTCTCTCTCTCTCTCTGTGTGTGTGTGTGTGTGTGTGTGTGTGTGACCACTCACTGGAACAGCGACCACCTACCCTGAAGAACACTGACACTTCCTCCCTTAGCAGCCATCAACAGCCAATAGCTCCGCAGCAAAGGGCAGGATAAATTCAGTTTTTCATCATTTCCATTTCTCTTTCAATTTGGTTTTCCTTCCAGTATTTTTATCTTACGATCTGCCAGCCTGTCAACTCTTAGTCCCATGCTTCAGGCTATTTCTTCTCTAGACTGCGCCATGAAGGGCTTTCTCTGTAGACACAGGTGCCGGGGACAATGTGTCTGCCTATGAAATATGTTCCTTTGTGCCACAGAATAATGGCGGAGGGGCTTTGTGTTTCTCAGTGGGATCACGTCAGCCGCCACCACACACACACAACACCCTGAGTTCTAGCACTTAACGCCTCACTATTTTGTTCTTAGTTTAAATGTGGAAAAGCAGAAGCACCTGCAGGTTGTAGAATTGTAGTGAGCAGAACGATGCCATTACCGGTCCAAAATGTCATTCACTAGAAAGACTTCCAAAAAGCCTGACAGAATACCAACGTTCCAGGAAAGCCTGCTTCGTTTTAAATACCATTTGCTTTGTAATTTCTTGACAATAGTATCCATTTCTGTGGCTCTGCAGCAGAAGACAGATACTACAATACATTGGGTCATGTAATATAATTCTGACAAACACTCGAATAAAATCAATAGATGAAAACATTAGCTTCGCCATACTGGTGCAGAACGCTATTTGTGCTATTTTTGGTTTAATTAAGGAAATAAATGGACAGCTCTCTTTTTCAATCTCAAAGGTTAGGAAATTTCTTGAAATATCCTATAGTCTCTTAGTAACTTCGTACATTGAGAGACTATTTTATAGTCATGTTTTATCCTGTGTCACTCTGTGAATGCAACTTTGATGTAAACTTAGTATTCCTTGCATAACTGTAACCTAAGTCTAGACAACTCACTATAAAACTCAAGTTATGGCTTATGTCTCTGGAGAATCAAGTAGGTCTTGAGAAATGGCGTTTACCAGTGTCACTGACTCCTTGGGTAAAAGGTACTATGAATAGGATGAAGATGAAGAAGAAGGAGAAGAAGGTGGAGGGTGGAGAGAAGGTGGAAGAAGGTGAAGGAACAGGAAGAAGCAGTAGATAAAAGAAGGGAGGGAAGACCATAAATTGTCCCCTAGGTTTGATTTCCAAATAGAGCTTTCAGAATTTATTTCATGAATTTTTTTTTTAAAAAATAAAGAACACAAGAACACACATCAGAGACTTTTCTCTAAGAAATATAGCAGTCAGTAACCAAGTTGGGGCTCAATGATTTCCAACTGACCAGGTAGAAAGAAGGGTTAAAGAAAGGAAGAAAGGAGACAGAGTTTATTAGGCACTTTTTTCATAATGGGAACATTTTCTATTTTACAAATACTATGTCATAATCCCCTGGTTTCCATGAGGCTCGGTTCTAGAGCATCTCTAACAAATACCAACACCCAAGGCTGTCCGAGTCCCCATGGTAAGTTGCTGACTGCTTGCTAATCAAGTGTGCACATCATCCGTGTTCTCTAAACAATCTCTAGAAGACCTGCCACATCCACGACAGTGTATGGGCCCTGGAAATGGCTGTCATCTATTTTTAGGTCAGAATAATGAAATGAGAAGAAAATCTGTACATATTCAGTATAGAAGAAATCTTCTCGGTTACTTTCAGTCTACGAGCGTTTGAATTCATGGGTGCAAAAGTCAAGAAGGTAGACAAAAGACCATTGGTATGCAATTGAGTTCCCAAGGCTGAAAAGAGTTGCCCTAAATCATATAATGCACAAGGAATTCAAACTAGCTGTGTTCCATGGTTTGTGTTATTTCTATCACATCTGCATTTATCTTACAGGAAACCTTTGGTATGCCCGGCAGAGGCAAGAGCCATAGAATTTAGGAGAACATGTAAGTATTCTTGCATCTGGAAGCTGCCCACACATGGCAACTGAGTCAAACCAAAGTACTCAGGTCTGAACACTCCTGTGGGCTAAGAGAGGAGAACCCCATAGATCCTGAGAGCTCCTCTAAGAGCTATGGACACTCTTTTGCTGAGAGATCTCCCAACACTCTGTGCCATTTAGGGATAAGGGAGGCAAATTCATTAACCTCAGTCTTTTATTGTCTTGTATCTTAGGCAGAGGAAATGCAAAGAAGAAAGGCAAAGAATCTCTTCCTTTGCTGGAGGTTGAGACAAGAGAACTATAATTTCGAGATAGATCTGGGCTACACAATAAGTCCTAGCTCAACCTAGGCTACATAGAAAGACAGTTTCAAAAGTGAATAATAATTATTCAGTGAATGAGAACTGTGTGTGACTTTACTTGGGGAGACAGGATTAACTATATTAAATGATTAAATGGATATTCATTCTAGAGAAGGAACCAATGACAGATCAAAGAAATTATTCCACTCAAGTCCAATGTGGTGGATGAATTAATGGTTTATTCTGCAGTTTGTTATTTTGAGCTTTAAGGATTTAGGGGTGGGGGTGAGGAGCTCTTCATGTATGTGGTATGTGTTTACTTTCTCCAGGTAAATCACCTTTCATTTCGTCTACTCAAACCAAAAAAACCCTAAGAATTTCAGTCAGGCCTCATGCACACAGCATCAGGACCAGCCCTTATAATTACCCCCACACTCATCCATCCCTCAGTTTAGCTGCTCTGGATGGAGTAGCCTCAACACATCAGGATCCATGCCTTGTAGAACGGAGCGGCCTGCATTCCCGCCCGGCTCACGCACAGCTAGCTTTACACCATAAATAACAACATACAAATTGTATTCTTTTAAACACTGCTTGACCCATTAGTTCCAGCCTCTTATTGGCTAACTCTCACATCTTGATTAACCCGTTTCTATTAATGTGTGTAGCACCACAAGTTGGTGGTTTACCAGGAAGGATCTTAACCTGCGTCCATCTTGAAAAAGAGAGTTATAGCGTCTGCCTCACTGTCTTCTTCCTCCCAGCATTCTGTTCTGTCTTCCCCACCTACCTATATTCTGACCTATCAGGCCAAACAGTTTTCTTTATTAATTAACCGATGAGAGTAACACATAGACAGATGACCCTCCTCCATCATGCCTTAATGTTCCATCACTAGGGACTAGGACAATAACTGGTAAGCAAGTACTGTCTCTAGTCTTGTTGAATTGCATTTGATTTTTAACAGCAGCGTGTAATTGGAAAGAAGCCAAGTAGATTCCCCATTGATAGGCAGAAAATGAATAGCTCAGACAATGCTCAAAGTCAAGTGTGGCCCATCACTCTTCCACACTGTCTCAAAATGAAAGTGGGCTCAGTATCGTTGAGAATTGTCTCTGATCAACTGCTGACTTGTACTCTGGCTTGCTAGTGACTAAATCATGATGATATTAGTGGAACTCTTCTGGGAATGTCTATGATGGTGTTTCCAGAGACAATCAGACCATGAGGACTACAATCTAATGAATGGATTACTTATCATCATTATTGCCAGAGTACTGGGAAGCAGGAAGTTGGGGTCTAGTTGACAGAAGTTGAACGCTAAAGGCATGTCCTTGGGGTGACAGCTTCTCTCACCTCTTCCTACGTCTCCATTTTCTGCACTTTCTGGCTACCATGATGTGAACACCCCTGGCTCCTATCCATAATGGATTAAACCCTCTGGAACTGTAAGCCAAAATAAGCTTTTCTTCCACTTAAATTGTACAGTCAGCTTTTTGGTTGAAGTGACTTACAAGTACCTAATACAGGCCCCTAGGGCTACTCTCAGCAAGAATTAAGGAATTGTACAGATGAGATGCTTTTTTGTTTCTTGTTTTCTAGACAGGGTTTCTCTGTGTAGCTTTGGAGCCTGTCCTGGAACCTGCTCTGAGTAGACAAGGCTGACCTTGAACTCACAGAGATCTACCACCCTCTGTCTCCAGAGTGCTGGGATTAGAATTAAAGGCGTGGCCACCACCACCCATCCAGATAAGATGCTTTTACCTGCAAGTGACAGAGAACCTATGCCAAGTGACTTGTCTGGGAATTTCATTAGCTCCCATAAATGGAAGTCTAGAGGTACTTTCTATTACCTTTAAAGCCATCCCTGGTGATCTACTTTGGCCAGCCAGCATCCAGCTCATAAAGATTTTATAATCTCCCATGGCTGAGCACCATCTGAGAGACAACTGCACAAATCATGAACCTTCTAGACTAAACAGAACAGCAAATGAGAGACACGGTACTGTCTCTGCCTTAGTTATTTCTCTCAGGCTATGATAGGAAACATTGATAAAAACAACTTCAGGGAGAAAGGGCTTATTCTGGCTCGTAGTTCAAGGGTAGAATTTTTTGTGGAGGGGAAGTCAAGGCAGCAGGGGCTTAAAGCAGTTGTTCACATTGTGTTCACAGCCACAAAACAGAGAAGAAGTGTTTGCTTCTACTGTGCCAGCTTTCCCCATCTGTGCAGTCAAGGTGTCAACCCAGGGCATGGTACTGCTCATGGTAGGCAAGTCTACCACCTAAATTAATGTAGCCAACATAACTCCCTCTATAGACATACATACCCAGGTAGTCTAGATCTCAAATTGACAACTGAGTTTAACTATCACAAGTCTCGGGTTTGTCTCGTGTGAGTCCATGACTCCATCCTCTCCCCTGTTCTTCCTCCTTAAGCTGACAGTGAAAAGGAATGATGCTACTGGGCCTTCACTCTGTCCTCTAAAAGGTCCAAAGCAAGAGAAGGCTGTCTTCTGCCCTCTCTCTCGAGCACAAAGAAACACCTGAAACCCCCCAATAGCATTCTCATGAGCTTAACTGGGTCATGAATTCCTTCAATACCCGTATGTGAATGGAGTTACAATGATTGTCTCAAACCTATTAGGGTGCACACCTGGTCGGGGGGGATGAGACTCAGGATGCCTGACAGCAGGAGGATGCTATAAATGTTAGAGGCGATCTCAGAGCTCTGCAGGTATGTAGGACCAAATTTTACTTTATCTGCACAAGTATTTATGAAGCGGAAATACAGCTCACGGAAGCATAGGATTTCAGAATTAGAAGGTGCTTCAGAGGTCCAACTCCCACGTGATGGAGGGTTTCTCCTTGCTATATTTAGGATAGTCGTCTGTCCCTGGAGAGATGCCCTATCATGCCCGAGGGAACCTGCTCTATCAATAGTGGCCTTCATGTGGTTTCCTGTCTCTGAATTCTCCTCCCAACAGATCTCCAGCCCCCTTTCTTACTCCCATCCAACTTCAACTCTGCTTTGTCTTCTCCTTCCAAACCCCATCACTGTTTATATGGGGAGACTTGAGCCCATCTGGAAAACAGACTGCTGTCTAACCTCGCATCACTTTTGCTTCTACTCCCATCATGCATTTGTTTCTGTTTCAGTCCAGATTTGCCCCTTATCCCAGCTCCTAATTTCCTGATGGGATAACTGTCTGTCTTTGGTGTCTTCTGGGGTCAATCTCAGGACACCTCCAGCCCTGCTATACCAAAACCCAAAGATACTCAAGGCTATTCTATAAAAAAGTATAGAAAAGGATCTTCATATAACCTATGCATGTCCTTCTGTACAATTTAATTTCTAGATGACTTCTAATATCTAATATTAAAGGCTGTGTAAACAACTGTTATCCTGAATTGGTTAGAGAATAGCAACAAGAATATACCTGCTCAATACAGGTGTAAATTTTCCAAATACCTTTGTTCTGAGGTTGGTTGAATCTACAGGGGTGGTATCCCTGGATATGGTGGAACACCAAATGCCAGGATTATGTGGCTCCATGTCTTCCTTTCCCAGGGCAACAGCCTTGGCCACAAATTTTCTGTCCTCTCTTCTTTTTCTGAACCTACAAACTTGACTCCTCTGGATAACCTTTACCCATGGCAACTGCTTGCTTTCTCTGCTTGGAATTTTTCAACCATAGCCAACTGTGGTGATACTTTGTTTGTGTTCTAAGAAATAAAGCTTGCCTGAAGATCAGAGTACAGAGTTAACCATACTAGTTAGCAATAGAGGTCAGGCAGTGGTGGTACACATCTTTAATCCCAGCACTCAGGAGACAAAGGTTTATAGGTCCCTGTGAGTTCATGGCCATCCTGAGCTACGTGAGACTGAATTGATCTAAAAGAGAAGTAGAGCCAAGTGGTGGTGGCTTACACCTTTAATCCCAACTCTAGGAAGGTATAGACAGGAGTGATATGGCTGGGCAGAGAGGAATATAAGGCAGAAGGAGACAGGAACTCAGGATTCAGTCTGAGGTTTTGTAGAGACAGCATCCAGTTTGAGGATGGGATAGAATCGCCCCTTTCGTCTGAGAATTCAGTAGAGCTAAGTACTAGTGACTGGCTGTTCTGTTTCTCTGAACAAGCAAACAAAATATTACTATAGCCAGCACCTGGATGTTTTGTAGTTCTGGATCCGTGTTCTAACATTTACTTTGATGGCAAGCAGCACTTCCCAGCTCTGCTCCTTTCCCCTCTTGGAAACCTAATGTCATTTCCTATCAACCTCCTCTCGGCTCTATCGGACAGTTTGTAAGATTCACTGGCTCACCTCATTCCTAATTGGATCCATCTACTCACTGTTTCTGAAGACAGCCAGTGAGAAAGAATAAAACAGTTGTCTCAGTAGAATAAAGTTTAAATAGGATCTCCAAGTCAGGGAGAGCTGTCAAAAGAGCTTTGTGAAGAATTCTAAATTCTCATCTATTATTATATCTTTCTGTTCTTATTTACTGACCATAAGTTCAAAGGGGACTGGGGTTCTCGCAAATGGATCCTCTACTTGGAGACACTATCTTGAACATGTACTAAAAATTGGGATGAGTGAACTAGAGGACCAGACTCAAGACAAAGGTCATCTGAAGTCCAGGTAAGCAATGGCTATCAGCTGAGTAATGACAAAATGGAGCTGGGAATCAGACTTTTGAGTTTTCTGAATTATGATAGTAGATGGATGGATAGATAGATAGATAGATGGTAGATAGATAGATGGTAGATAGATAGATAGATAGATGACGCATAGATAGTAGATAGATAGATAGAAGATAGATAAACATGAGGGGCAACAGATACAGATGGTGATAAAAAGATGATAAACAGATAAACAGAACTAGATAATAGAGATAGATGGCAGGTATAGATGGATAAGTGTACAGATATAAATAACAGATGAAAGACAGAGATGTTAGATGATAGATATAGAGATGACAGATAGAAGATAGACAAGACAGATAGATATGTATATACTTACACACGTACACCGATACATGATGATAATAGGTAGGTGATAGGAAATAGATGATGGATGGATAGATAGGTAGTTAGATGGATGGATACATAGACGTAGAAGGATAAATGATAGACAATTGCTAAATGTAGATATATGTTTTAAGTTACATGTAGTTTATAAAATGGTTTTACTGTTTTGTCTTTAGAGTGCGCCTCTCTCCTTCATTGTTCACATTCCAATGGAGGTGAAATTGTTAAAAGAAAAAACTGGTTCCAAAAGTCCTCTGTACCTGCAGCTCCACATTGGTGGAGTCAACCAACTTTGGCTGAAACATATTTAGGGAAAAGACGGTGTCTGACCTAGAAATCCACAAATTTTTCTTTATAATGATTTCCCAAAACGATGCAATATGATGGCTGTTTGCACAGCATTTTCATTGTCTTAGGCAGTCTAACTAGTCACAGGCACAAGAGGATGTGTATGGCTTCTACAACTGAGCTTTTTAGCTGAAGGGTCACTGAGATAAAACACAGAATGGTGAGTTGCTTTTTACGTGGCTCTGCCAGCTTCAAATTTCCCCCAAACTTTCCAGACTACTAGCTAAATGTCCTGATTTTCACTTCAAGGCAAAGAAAATGCTTCTGATTTTGTCAACGGCAAAGAAAACATGGTTAACTACTTTGCAGGCAGTTCCTGTGTTCAACTCCCAGTGTCTATTATGAATGCATCATGAGTCAGGCTATACTTGGCATATCTGTGAAAGAGTGTGTGAAGCTCTCATGCAGAACAAAAACACAATAACACCCATATTCGTGGATGGTGATATTCTGGGATAACCATATGTGACTAGTGTATCTTCAAAATATTTTATTCTGTTGATGTGTGTAAGGCTTGAGAATGCTGTTTTTCCGGCCTCTGGTGTTCTAGGAGGCTACAGAACTGGCGGCTTAGATTGTCCTTCATTCTATATTCATATGCAGAAATTACAACAGAGTCTTCCAGTAGAACATACTAACTGAGCCTTCAAGAACAACAATAAGTGCCCTTTTTAAAAAATTTTTTTTTGCTTTACACGTGTGTATATCTTGTTCCATGTATGTTTTCCGGTAACCATGATGGTCAAAAGAAGACATCAGATGCCCTGGAACTGGGGTTACAGATAGCTTCATGTGGGAGCTGGGAACCAAACCTGGTTCTTGGCAAGAGCAATGAGTATTCTTTGTTTGTTTGTTTGTTTGTTTGTTTGTTTGTTTGTTTTTAGAGACAGGGTTTCTCTGGGTACTGTCCTGGAACTAGCTCTTGTAGACCAGACTGGTCTCAAACTCACAGAGATTCACCTGTCTCTACAACACCACCGCCCAGCACAATGAGTATTCTTAACTGTTAAGTCCCTTCTCCAGTTCCAGTGGCCTGTTTCTTAGGGTCACAAAGAGCTTTGGTCTTTAAGAGAAGGTGTTTCTAATCAGTTGTGAAGCAAACAAAGCCCAGCCGGCACTCAGCTAGTGAATGGTTTTTACAGTGCAAATATTTTATGGGATGAATCTCTCTTTTTTTTTATTTTGGTTTATCGAGACAGGGTTTCTCTGTAGCTTTGGAGTCTGTCCTGGAACTCGCTCTTGTAGACCAGGCTGGCCTTGAACTCACAGAGATCCGACTGCCTCTGCCTCCCGAGTGCTGGGATTAAAGGTGTGCACTACCATCAACCAGCATGGTATAACTCTTTTAATGGAACGAAACAGGATTCATTGTCATCTAGACTAGTATACTAACATGAAGGTGATATCCCAGTGATATGATGTGTGGCGTATGTTTTATGTATGAATTGGTATGCTATCTGATTATAGAAAGGACTTAGGGCAGCTTAGTCTGAGACTTAGTATGTAAGATGTAAGTTTCTCACTGAACTAAGTGAGAAAGCTAAAGGCAAAAGAAAATAAGTAACACATCTCAAGATTCTGTGGAATTCAAGATGTAAGCAAAGTCGTAATCCAGTCCTAGGATTTTTTCCTCTATGAAATATGCCTGTGTATATCATATTTTATAGAACCAAACATACACAAATCTGGACTTTGAAGGCAGAGAACTTAGGAGGCTGACATTTACATTTCAAATGTATTTTTCAGTTTACAAAACAATTCATCATTATATTCCTTTAAGTGGTGGGGCTCTTGCATTTAGAATACATGCATGCTGTCATAGACAAACTCCAGATTCTGATTTGCTAAAAGGGGCCCTTTCCAACCTCCCGGCTATAAGAGCACAAATAAATATTTTCTGTTGTGTGACATGTGAGTGTGCAATTGCCATGTCAGGATATGACCTCAGCAACTCGACTCCAGGTAGTCTGTCAGAGACATAGAGGGTCGTGGGAGCTAGCTCAGCTTTAGAGAAGTGTTCGTCTCTCAAGCACAAGGACCTGGGTTCGATCCCCAGAACCCATGTAGAAAAGTTGGGCATGATGGTGCATATTTGCAGGTCAAGCACTGGAGAGGTAGAGGCAGGTGAAGGTCCCTGGGGGCACACCAGCAGTCAGTCTACTCTGCCTGGTGGCTGTTGTCTGAAGACTGAAGCCTAAGGTTGTCTGTCCTCTGGTCTCCACACGCATGCATACATGTGTGGACGAGCACACACACAACACGAGAAAGGATTTAGATCCAACTGGAGAAGACAGTTGGAACATTCTGCAACCAGGCCAGAATTCACCTATTTCCAAAGGTGCGTGCCTATTTGACTGGTTGCATGTTCTGAATCTTGCTCACAGAAAGAAATGAGCAAATTCCTTATTGAACAAATCCCTTATTGGTTGAACAAATTCCTCATTGATCCCAAATAAATAAAATTCCTTATTGATTCTGAATTCATAGGGATTTAATCAGCAGAGTGGCCTCAGGGCCCATACTGAAGCTGTGGGTGAGGGCCCCAGGCAGTATAGAAGTGGACAGGCAAGCCGAGAGGACAGAGAGAGGGGGCAAAAGGAAGAGACAGAATCCTGGATGGCATGGAGGGGACTCAGCTGGTCCTGAAATTAAATACATGAGGGTCAGACAAGCACAATAAATGATAGCCATACAGGGACCTGGAATGGGCTCCAGGCAAAGAGAAGGACTGTTTGACCTTTGTTCTCTCTATATTTATCTCCCAAGCAGAGAGATTCCTTTGCAAGACTGCCCTTGGCATCCCTTTAATCACCAGGGTTTGGGATGCTAAAGATGAATAACCTGCCCCTCGCTGGGAGATCCCAGGGCATCTCAGACACAGAAACTTTCCCACTTCCCTTGGCAGTCTTTCTTACTCTGCCTTCTTGCTATTTTTTCTCAATAATTTTACAGCTAATCCTGCGTGTGTGTGTGTGTGTGTGTGTGTGTGTGTGTGTGTGTGTGTGAGAAACAATAACGGATTTGGACTAAAAGCAAGCTTCTATTTTGTAATTTTACAAAAGTAAAATAAATTCTAAAGTTTAGATTTATAGCTTTCAATGTTCTGAGCTATCCTTCAGAGATAATTCTTATATCAAACATAATGCGGTTATGGGAGAGGAGGCAGAGAGAGTAGGATGCCAAGACCTGGCAGGTCACCCAGCCTATCGAAAACAGAGAGCTTCTAATCCAAGGCAAGGTAGAAGAGGGTGACCGACGAAGACCCCAGAGGTCCTGCTCCATATCCCCATGCTTACATAGTTACACAGACACAGACACAACCACACACTTGTGTGCATACGACACACACACATACACATACATACACCACAAATACTGTGAGCAGTTTTTTTTTTTAATGTTAAAATTTTGCTTCTGAAATAACCAGCGTGGTGTAGGTCCACGCCTTTTCATATAAAATCTTCCGGCAGCTAAAGTTGAAGAAAACTGTGCCTTTAAATTTTTGCTTCCTGTTGAGAAATTGGAGAGGTTTTTTTTTTTGTTAAATTATTTTTGCATTTATTGTTGGGTAATGGTGCACTACCGAAACATATAAAACACAAGCTGTCTCTTATTCTGTTGGGTGACAAGTTGCTCAATTAAAAACAGGTTATGTTACACGCCCTTAGCCCCTCCGAGCTGATACTGTATTGTTCAGAATAGTACATGTCACCCTAGCTTATTTCCCATGCATCTGTTACATTAGTAGGTGCTAATTAAACATGCATTTGTGGAGTGACTTTACATGAGACCATTTTGCGGTTTCCTGGATTATTTATGCAACACTTAGGGATCTGTGGGTCACAAATCCTACTATAAGTTTTGCTTCCTAAAATTATTAATGGAAAGTGAAGTCCCTCAAACAGAGCTTTTAAAATGCGCTCAGAAAATATCCAAGCCCAACTATTAAAGCAAACAAAAATGTATTATTCATGCACACCATGTCCTGTATTTCCCAGAAATGGGATAAACCAGCAGAAAGGTTCATTATGGGAGGCGATGCTTTAACTGAAGGTCCTCACAATTTTCCTTCCAGAGAACCAACCTGCCTGTGGGAGGGTCATCAGTATAGGAAGATGGTAGATGTCAAGATTCTCTAGTGGCTGGGGGATCAGTATGATCCGGTAGGTCCCACATTCTGATCCAGTGTGGTCATGGCGTTCCATGGTGTTCCCATGCCTCCTTGTCAAATGCACCTCAAAACCTCACATCTGGAGCTAGAGA